GTTTGTATAAATTAGATTCACTTATAATTAATAGAACTACTGTACAACTATGATAATTTCTTTAGTGATAAATGGTCAGTAAGCCATTAAATTAAGTCAACCCATAATGCCTAGGCATAATAGAGGCTCTCTTTGCACTGCAACCCATTATTGTAAAAATACAATCTCAATGAACTTCTTACAAAGAAATAAATGAATCTGAATTTGAATTTATATGGGGAATCACATACTGTGCTCTTGGGGGATTCTAAAGAAAAGTAGGAAAGGTTAGTGGACAAGTTTGGGAGGGTGTGTAAAGGTAGAAAGTTGCAAGTGAACATAGATAAGAGTAAGGTGATGAGGGTAGTAAACAATATATGCATATAAAGAACAACTGGATATCACAGTGGAGGGAGGAAGTATGGAAGAAGTGAATGTTTACAGATATTTGGGAGCTGACTTGTCAGCAGATGGGTTTATGAAAGATGAGGTTAACCATAGAATTGATGAAGGAAAAAAGGTGAGTGGTGTGTTGATGTATCTGTGGGGACAAGAGGCAAAGAAGGGAATGTACAAGAGTATAGTGGTACCAAGACACTTATATGGGTGTGAAGCATGGGCTGTAAATGCTGCAGCGAGGAGGCGGCTGGAGGCAGTGGAGATGTCATGCTTAAGGGCAATGTGTGGTGTAAATATGCAGAAAATTCGGAGTGTGGAAATTAGGAGAAGGTGTGGAGTTACTAAAAGTATTAGTCAGAGGGGTGAAGAGGGGCTGTGGAGGTGGTTTGGTCATTTAGAGAGAATGGAACAAAGTAGAATGACTTGGAGAGCATATAAATCTGTTGGGGAAGGAAGACAAGATGGGGGTCATCCCCAAAAAGGTTGGAGGGAGGGGGTAAAGGAGGTCTTGTGGGCGAGGGGCTTGGACTTCCAGCAAGCGTGTGTGAGCGTGTTAGATAAAAGTAAATGGAGACGAATGGTTCTGGAGACCTGACAAGCTGCTGGAATGAGCAGGGTAATATTTTGTGAAGGGATTCAGGGAAACCGGTTAGCCAGACTTGAGTCCTGGAAATAGGAAGTATACAATGCCAACACTTTAAAGGAGGGGTTGGGATACTGGCAGTTTGGAGGGACGTCTAAGCTGTCGTATCTGAGCGCCTCTGCAAAGACAGTGTTTATGTATGAGTGAGTGATGGTGAAAGTGTTGAATGAAAATGAAAGTTTTTTTTCTTTCTTTTTGGGTCACCCTGCCTTGGTGGGAAATGGCCGATGTGTTAAAAAATATATATATATATACATGTAGTTTCTTTTTGTAATTTGCTTTGGTTATAAACTCCACTGAAAAACTAAATTGCATTTTGTAAGTTAAACAGTTAATGTTTTTTCAATCTTATTGAATTGTATTTAGCTTTCATATACAGTAGACAGTCATTTAACATGGTAGTATGTTCCTGAAAACACCGTGTTAGGTAAAAACTGTGTTAGATGAACTGAAGAACTTACAGGAGAAATAGGGTTACGTTCCCGAGAGCCCCAAAAAAGCCAAACCTTTTTTTAGGCCTCCACATCTTACAAAAATAAAAGTGAATATGTAACTGTAGTACATTGTTGTGATGTATTATGTTTTTACTGCTTAAGACTACAAATGTAACAGAAATAATAGTATTTCTTACCTTAAATTGTGGGTGCTGGTGTTTGTGGATGATTGTGAAGAGTGGAGATTTATGCTGTGGCCCTACTGGGCTGAGGTACATGGTAGAGGTTCTGGTACTGAAGCTGATGGTTGTACTGGAGTGTCTAAGTCATTCAGTCAGTCAAGTTATTAAGTCAGTCAAGCGATTCAGTAAGTCAGTCAAGTCGTTCAGTAAGTCAGTCAAATCAGTCAGGAACTCAGTCAAATCATTCAGGAAGTCGGTCATTCAGTAAGTCAGTCATTCAGTCAGTCGGTCATTCCGTAATTCAGTCACTCAGTAAGTCAATCAATCACACAAACTTATGTTTACCTCTTTTTTATGTGTACAAAGTAACACTGCATTATGGCTACAGGATGTCTTGTCTAATATCTTTGTTTCATAAGAACATAAGAAAGGAGGAACACTTTTAATTCTAAGACTTAAATGCTTACACCTTTTCTTGCCACTTTGAGCAACACTGGTATGCCTACTGGGTGTCATGACTGTTTGGCAGATACAAGATATAGCAATTAAAAGATCAAAACACAATTCACAATCATAAGCTTGTAGCAGAGAAAGTTGGACTGGACACTTATGAAGTACGAATGCTGGGATGGTGGGGTGGTGTCGGGGTGGCTGGGGACGGTGGGAGGTCTCCCCCGCTGATCCACAACAACGCGGCCACTTGAGGAAAAGGGAATTTTTTTTCCTTCCCGCAAACTGAACCGTGTTAAATTCATCTTACGACATGTTACATAAAATTGTGCCACAATCCTTCAATCGTGCTATACCCAAATCGTGCCAAATAAACTCGTACTAAATGACGGCCTACTGTAAAATGAAACCAAGCTTTTACCGAGATTTTAATCATATCTTTAGGAAAGATGAGGAAAGAATGAAAGATGGAGTTACTGAAAATTTTACATGTTTCAGGATTCTGCAACCAAGGAAAGGTAAAAAAAAAAACACTCTTCAATCTCACTCACCTTACACAAGCAACTAACTTCCTTGGCACTACCTCATCTTGCTCACAAAAGCAGCATTACAGTTTTCTGGCTAAAATTCCTACATACATCAAATTCCTCTATTGTTTCTGCAAGTAATTAGTATGTATATACAGTGGACCTTCGGTTATCGGCCGTTCCGGATATCGGGCAATTCGGTTTTTGCCCGAAATTCTATCCCGGTTATTGGCCGTTATTTCAGAGATTGGCTATATTGGTCACGTAATAAATCACTCGAGCGCATTAAATGTCTTATTTTAGGTCAATACGTATAGACATATTCATTAATCCATCTATGATATTTTCTTCAAAATTATACAAGAAACATGTTACATAGCATATAGTATATAAACATAGCATATAAACATGCAATGTTTATATGTTATCAAGTGGAGAATCGGGTGGAAAGTAAACATTACGTTTTCTATGATTCAGCATTAGAGAAAACTGTGACTCTTATGTCTCGCCCAGTAACCGCCCTCCATATGAGTTTGTTTACAATTCTAGGCACGACTTATTCATTACTTCTCCCTTTGTTTATGACGACATTTAAAGGTAGTTGTTAGTAACGATTAAACTCAGTGAACATGGTAATAATATGGCTGTGTAGTGTAGCCCAGGAGGGCTACACTACACAGAGGGGAGAGGGAGTTGGGGGAGTCCCATCTCCCTCTCTCCTCCTGCCTTCTTCAATACACCAACAAGTGTCTTCAATAAAGGTATGTAATGTTCATTTATCATTAAAATTTGTGCTTTATATCTATTTCTCATTGTTTTCTGTATGTAAAACTATAGTTAATCTTTAAAAAATGTATTTTTTGTTAATATTTTTGGGTGTCTGAAACGGATTAATTGGATTTACATTTATGCTTATGGGAAATATTATTTCGGTTTTCGGCCATTCGCTTTTAGACCGACCTGGAATGGATTACAGCCGATAACCGAGGGTCCACTGTATTGCACTCGTGGACCCTCGGTTATCGGCCGTTCCGCTTATCAGCCAACTCACTTATCGGCCGTTCCGCTTATCAGCCAACTCACTTATCGGCCGGTTATTCGGCTTTAGGTTATCAGCTGTTATTTCGCTTATCGGCCGTATGGGATGCGTTAACCCACTGCTGCCAGCCGCTTGCATCAGTCTGGCTGTGTCTCTGGATGAGTGAGGAAGCGTCTGCTCATTCATACAAACATTTTGCTATAATCCATTGTTTTTTGTGGTTATTGATTGAGTGCGACTGTGAAATAAGCAACCATGGGCCCAAATAAAGTCCCTAGTAAAGTTCCTTTGGTAAAGAAAGCGAGAAACATGATGAAATTTAAGTTGTTGAAAAGTATGAGAGTGAAGGAGGAAGAGAGAGGGGAGAATGTGCCTTCTTCAGTGATTCTATGATATGTACGATATTAAAGCAGCAGGAGTCAATAAAGGCTATAGCGTCAGCCAGTGATAAAGTGTAGCACGTAAGTTAAACGATTAAGCGATAAAGACGACGAAACTTAACTCCTCCAATGTTGTTAGAGGTATATAGAACTACTGACAACACCGCCGCCCTGCCTATCTTCTATCGCCCTAAACCAGCATCTCCTCCAAAGTACAATAAGTGTAAATATTTCTTATTTATAAAGTGTAAATAATTCTTATTTATAAATTACACACACTGTGTGAATGGTGGTGGTAGCTCTGCTGCTGCCCACTACCACTAATATGTACGGCTTCTGCTCTCAGTGGCCCTTATAAACCCAACAACAACAACACATCACTAGCCACACACATAATGACATACGTTATTCATTCCAGAGTATACATCATGTTTCTTTGTTATTAATATTGTTTATTATGTCATATTAGATGAATTGTGATAGATAAATAAGCCAGAGTTGATAAAAATAGCATCATATTTAAGCCTCCCTTGCCATTTTGTATATGCCAACAAGACTCTTCATTACAGGTAAAAGTGATTTAAATGTTCATTTATCCATTTTATTTGTCATTTTATTTAGTTCTCATTTTTTCTGTATGTAAAACTATAGTTAATTTTTAATAAATGTATTTTTGTTAATATTTTTGGGTGTCTGAAACAGATTAATTGGATTTACATTAATTTTTATGGGAAATATTATTACGGTTATCGGCCATTTTGCTTTTAGGCCGTCCTTCTGGAACAGATTACAGCTGATAACCAAGGGTCCGCTGTACTTTAGTATGTCTTATCTAAATTATTATATTTAAAGCCTGTGCCACAAAAAATTATTAAAACTACTAAGATATGACTAGTTTATTAACAAGTAAAAGAGGGTGAAGACAAATTAAAGTCAAGTTACATAAAACATCTGGCAACACACTCACGGTCCTGGAGGAAGATATCCGCCTGAGTGTAGGTCTACTGAAAACCACTGTAGTGTTAATATAGTCAGGACTTCTAACACTGTTGTGAGGGCCTGCGACGCAACCAGACATGAAGCAAACTTGTGGGAACCATACCGGCGCTCAAATACTCTGGGATAAATAAAAAATATAAGCAAAATAAATAAATTATAAACATTGCATACTGCTTAGACAACTGTTTGCCATGCAAAATGGTATGGTGCCAAAGAGAAAACTTCTATGCATCATATTAGTATTGTAATTCCATGCTAACCCCTTAGGCTCTTGCCAATACATACTGGTATTAAATTTCTTAAGCAATGCCAGCACCCCTTGTGGCAGTGGCTAGTGAAAGAGTGAGGTAGGCAGTACCAGTGCCAGACCCAGTTATGAGCCATACTCCACACATCATATTCCAAGGAACCCAGGTTGTATCCACTAGCCCCATACAACCAGCTGAAAATATCCAGCAACCATCACCAGACCACATCTGACACTGACAGGAGGAAGCACATTTTGTGTTGAATCCCCATCAATTTGAAGACACTCTGTGACAATAATGCTTATGCCACTTTAAGCATAACATTGCAGAATACTAGTTAACTAACTGCCTTGTATGAACCCTGTCATTCAGTGGTCTCCCCATCAACAGATTTATCCTGCTGCTATGTATGCTACACTTCTCAGACGAAACTAGGACCAAGAAGTGACATGTTATACAAGATTAGGGGTATTTTTATGCACAGCATCTCAAACAAAAATTTCAGGAGTATTTTTATCCCTTCAGGAATCTTGTCATCGATGAATCTTTGATTCTGCTCAAAGGCAGACTGTTGTTTAAGCAATATACAGCAAGAGGAAACACTTTGGTCATGTGCAATTGTGAAACTGGCTTCATATTGAACCTCACTGTGTACACAAGCAGCAAAACATTGGAAGATATACCAGGAAATTATTGGGAAGCTCAGGTGATGTAGTAAGAAAAATGAGAGGCATATATCATACATAGATAAATGGCACACAAACCCCTTGCTCAATGATTTTTCTGCATGTGAACATGACTGTTGTGTGTGGTACATTGCATGGAACATGTAAACATATGCCCAGGCTCAATGTAGGTATTAGTACTGGTGAAGTGCAGGTGTTTCATGCCATTTCAGCGGCATGACAAACGTGATTTGATGCTGTCGACATCAATCCACCAGCGCAAAATGAAAGAAACAAGAACAGCAAATAGGATGCCAACGAACCTATTATAAGACCAGCTCCTGTCACAGATTACACCACCAATATACATTTGGTGGACAAAAGTGATATGCAGGATGAGTTTGCTGATTGTGTCTGAAAGAACAACAAGAGGTAAATGAAACTTTTCTTCCATCTTGTGGATACTGCAATGCTGAAGGCATGCAATATGTACCAGATCAAACCTGGCAAAAACAGAGTGCGTTACACCCACTTCTGTTAGTCCTCAGACAAATAATACAGAAATACCAAGTGAGCACCTGCATAACACATGCACCACCATAGTGATCACTAAATACCCTCTTCGTTATCACTTTTTGCTACAGACAAGAAGAAATGGGCTCAGAAGAGATGTTATGTCTATGCACACACAACAAGGCACCCAGCAAAGTGCAGGGACACGTACTTTATGTGTACAGAGTAAAACATCGCTGTGTATGGAGCCATGTTTCCGGGACTTCCACAGACTGCAGCAGTTCTAGGAACATGACCAGTGCCTGTAAATATGTGTATACATTTTAGAAAAGTACTAATGTGAAGGATTTGGACGTGTGTGTGTTTATGTTATGCATAAGAATTTTGTAAACAATATACCGATGACACTGTTAGTGCAGGTGTTGTGTTTTATACGTAGTGTAGCCACATGTATACTGTGCATGATTTGGGTCTTGTGTACCACAACAGTTTCTGGAAAAAGTAAAAAATTAGAAAACCCCAGAAAAAATGTAAAAAAATAATAAAATACAGAGCACACAACAACCACCAACATTGCTATTGGTGGATAACAACTTTAACCCTTTGACTGTTTTGGTCGTATACAGTGGACCCTTGCATAACGCCATTAGTCCGTTCCTGAGAGCTCAATGTTAGGCGAAATTATCGTTAGGCGAATTAATTTTCCCCATAAGAAATAATGGAAATAAAATTAATCCGTGCAAGACACCCAAAAGTATGAAAAAAAAAATTTTTTACCACATGAAATATTAATTTTTATACACACAAACTGAAGAAGACATGCACAGTTACATGACACTTACCTTTATTGAAGATCTGGTGATGATTGATGGGATGGGAGGAGGGGGAGAGTGTTGATGGTCTTAGTGTTTAGAAGGGGAATCCCCTTCCATTAGGACTTGAGGTGTCAAGCCCTTTTCCGGGGTTACTTCCCTTCTTCTTTTAATGCCACTAGGACCAGCTTCAGAGTCACTGGACTTCTGTCGCACAACATATCTGTCCATAGAGGTCTGTACCTCTTGTTCCTTTATGACTTTCCTAAAGTGGTTCACAACATTGTCAGTGTACAGGTTGCCAACACAGCTTGCAATAGCTGTCTGAGGGTGATTTTCATCCATAAAGGTTTGCACTTCAAGCCACTTTGCACATATTTCCTTAATATACTTGACAGTAGGGGTTGCAAGATTCTGTACGAGGCACAAGTATGCTCGCACCTTGAGTATGCTCCACTTTCTTGGCTTGCCTGCCCCCCCTCTCATCTGCGACTGCTTGACAGAGTAGAGAACAGAGCAAGACGTCTCATCTCTCGCCTGGACCCATCCTGGATAGATCTGTCATTTCAGCAGAGCCTTCAACATAGGAGGGATGTGGGTGGCCTTACTCTTATGTACAAGGCCAATATTGTCAAAGTACCACACTTGGATCCACTTCGAGGACAGCGTGAAACAAGCTTTTATACCACAAGATGGGCAGAAAGCAGCAACTTCACTCTGGCTGTACCCTTCTCCAGAACACCACGCCATCTGAGATCATATATACCCAGGATGACTCGAATATGGAACACATTCATACAGCATAATGATGTCAACGAGATAAAGTCAGTTGATCAAATGAAAATGCTGGCCCACAGATGGCTCCAATTTCATCCTGTTCCCTACTTGTATGTCTCATAACAATAAAAATGCTTTCAAATGAGCTGATGTAGGTAACAGCTCTTAGCTTGTCAATAAAATTAGGAATCCTTAACCTGTAAATAGCTTGTCAATAAAGCTAGGGATCCTTAACCTTGTCAAACCCTGTATAAAAAAAAAAAAAAAAAAAAAAAAAGTAGGTAACTTCTTTAATTTCTCTCTCCCCTCCTCCGAAGCAGTTTCCTCAGGTGTGGCCTCTTGCTGTTGAAGATGATCTAGCAGTTCATCAGTGGTTAGTTCTTCATTGTCCTCCTCCACCAACTCTTCCACATCCTCCTCACTAACCTCCAACCCCAAGGACTTCCCCAATGCCACAATTGATTCCTCAACTGGCATATGCCTCTCAGGGTTAGCCTCAAATCTTTCAAAATCCCTTTTGTCTACACATTCTGGCCACAGTTTCTTCCAAGCAGAGTTCAAGGTCCTCTTAGTCACTCCCTCCCAAGCCTTACCTATAAGGTTTACACAATTGTGGATATTAAAGTGATCTCTCCAAAACTCTCTTAAGAGTCAATTGAGTTTCTGAGGTCACTACAAAGCACCTTTCAAACAGAGCTTTTGTGTTCAGTTTTTTGAAGTTTGCAATGACCTGCTGGTCCATGGGCTGCAGGAGAGGAGTGGTATTAGGAGGCAAAAACTTGACCTTAATGAAGCTCATGTCCCCACAAAGTCGCTCTGCCAAGTCTGTAGGATGACCAGGGGCATTGTCTAACACCAGGAGGCACTTAAGGTCTAATTTCTTTTCAATTAGGTAATTTTTCACAGTGGGGGCAAATGCAAGGTGTAACCAGTCATAGAAAAAGTCCCTAGTGACCCATGCCTTACTGTTTGCCCTCCACAGCACACACAAATTAGCCTTGAGGATATTCTTTTGCCTGAACGCTCTGGGAGTTTCAGAGTGATACACCAATAAAGGCTTCACTTTGCAATCACCACTAGCACTGGCACACATTAACAGAGTAAGCCTGTCTTTCATAGGCTTATGTCCTGGGAGTGCCTTTTCCTCCTGAGTAATGTAGGTCCTGCTTGGCATTTTCTTCCAAAACAGGCCTGTTTCGTCACAATTAAACACTTGCTCAGGTTTCAGTTCTTCACTGTCTATGTACTCCTTGAATTCATGCACATATTTTTCAGCTGCTTTGTGGTCCAAACTAGCAGCCTCGCCATGCCTTATCACACTATGTATGCCACTACGCTTCTTAAATCTCTCAAACCAACCTTTGCTGGCCTTAAATTCACTCACATCATCACTAGTTGCAGGCATTTTTCTAATTAAATCCTCATGCAACTTCCTAGCCTTTTCACTCATGATCGCTCGAGAGATGCTATCTCTTATCTGTTTTTCATTTATCCACACCAATAACAGTCTCTCAACATCTTCTATCACTTGCGATCTCTGTTTCGAAAACAAAGTTGCACTTTTGGCAAGAACAGCTTTCTTGATTGCCGTTTTCTTGGCCACAATAGTAGCGATGGTTGATTGGGGTTTACTGTACAACCTGGCCAGCTTGGAGACACGCACTCCACTTTCATACTTAGCAATGATCTCTTTCTTCATATCCATAGTAATTCTCACCCTTATTCCTGTAGGGTTGGCACTAGAAGCTTTCTTGGGGCCCCTGGTCACTTATTTTGCAGGTGAAATCACTAAAAACGCTGTAATAAAACGAAATGTTCCGATTGTATGCTTGGATGTTACCGTGGACGCTGGCTTGTAAACAATGCCACCGGCGGAACAAGTGAGGCTGGCTCAGGCCGCACATGGACGCGAGATGCATCCGAATCGCGTTGAGCGAGTTTTTTAGCACTAGGCGAGGCAAAATTTTAGCGTTAAAATGTATCGCTAGGCGGATTTAACGTTATGTGATGCCAACGTTAGGCGAGGGTCCACTGTACATATATACGTCTTACGAGCCACCGTTTTTGACGTATATATGCTCATAAATTCTAGCGGCTTCAAAT